TCCTCACCCGATCAGTTGGGGGCAGTTTGAGTGGCATATAGTGGCATCAAATACTATATATATACCCAAACACTCCATGTATGCCATATGTCATAGATGCCCATCAGGTTGGGGTGGTTTTTGGGGGTCAACTGATCGGCATATAGGGCAGTCCCATTAGTCGTGTTTGGGATATACCCTGGGATGCACTCGCACCTTCTACGGTGATGTGTTCGACACAGACCGGAGGTCTGGTTGTACCGAACCTCAGGTTCGCTGCGAAAACGGATCCTGGATGAGAGACAGCCAACTTACTAGCGATGGCCTCCAACTTGTCAGGGAAAGCAACACTGCAGGAGTTCCCAGTGCCATGCCGAACCTGGAAGGTAGGTGCCGGGCTGGTCACCACTATGACTCGATGGAAGGTGTAAAAAACCACCCAAGTGCTTTGCAACTGGATTTGTTGGGGTTGATGTCATTGCGGATGGCTTTAGGTCTTTTCCCGTACTATACTTCAGGATCACAAGCTCAGCTCCCTCCTGCACCAAACTCTGGAGACATGAAGGCTCCTTCTGTTGCAACTCCTTCATCACCGCCTGTGCACGCTTTTGTGCAGCAGCTTGGCACACCTTCCGCAGACCCTCTGAGCGGCGGCGCTTGGCTTGTTCCTTGATGAGCTGCTGCCGCAGGGTACGAATCTCCCGCTCGCCTTGGACTGGCTTCGGAGAGCCAAAGACCCACATGGAAACGGATGGCATGAACCAGACTGGAAGACTATGAACTCCGAAGACCAACCCCAACGTAGTGAACTCAGGTGAACTCAGGTGGAGGTCTCTTCCAGGGCGTCAATCGCGTTGGCGTTACATCGGGGGTTGTTTTCGGTTGAAGGGTCAACTCTAGTGGCGATGCCAAAAGAAATCTGCTCCACTCGGTTGATCGAAGTAGGGTCCAGATGGGTCCAAACGCGTTCCACATCGGTGGAATCCAATTCGACGGGATCGGTGTGACAAGTGAACAACAAAAACAACATGCACCTCGTTCGCAAATCCCAGGGTTCGCTTCAGCAGCAGGCTGTCCAATGTCCTCTGGGTTGAAGATTCCTGACAGGAAGAAGCGGTGCTCAGACGGGGTAGAAGAATCATTCTGTACCATGAGCTTCAAGTGAACATATCACATCTGTTCGGCCGAACAAACAGAATCGATCCAAATGCTAAGCTGCCAACCCCATTCCATGAAAAGACCTTATAGGATCTTATAGGTTGCTAGCAAGCGTCTCTGAGACGGGGCATAAAGTCCCCGTGCGGATTCAAGAGGAGCACCTCAAAGGGTAAAACATGTAATCCTTAATCAGCAGAAACCATGCCAATTGATATGTGTTTATCATTTGTCATTTCAAAGTCATTTCAAACCTGACTGACTTTTAGGTGCAAACTTGTTGGCCTCTCTTCGTACCATACGCTGACACGAACGATGATACCATCCTTCACCGCCCCAATCACCATGGCCGACCCGCCTCGATCGGCGTCCCACTGGAGAAGGGCAAGCCCGGCAGCGGCTTGTAGACCGAACCCCGTGGAACATGGCCCTGGGCACTGGCAGCGGCACTGGCACGACGGTTGGACGACACGGGGGAGACCGGGAGACCGAGAGGGGGAGGCGGCATCGTTTCTCTAAAAGATGGATCGGACGAAGTTGGGATGTGATGTATACTATATAGTTGGTAGATATATTGGACCCTTGCCTACAAATACTGGTGAAAGAGGGGGGTCATTCCCAAAATAGGGAACAGCAAAAAGACGACTGGAGCTGTAAGGAATGATCTCCCTATAGGTGAATGAATAGACCCTAGGGCTCGAACTACCTCCTGAGAAGGTGGTCAGGCTGGATTTTGGGGGTCTAACCGCCGAACCTAGGGGAGACCAAATTCATGAATAAAACACAGCCCCCAGAGTGGAGATGTAAAGCTATTCTGGTCGGTTAATGTGTCTCTTCATCGATTCAGAATAGAGCTTCAGCGTCAATGCCTCCGAACCCTGCAGGTTTCGCAAAGAACACGTGACGCGGCGGAAATTGCTCACACATACATGACGCTGGCCTTGGCCTTGGCCTGCGTTGCGGCCAAATCCATCTGCTCGTTGATCTCATCCAAGTCTTGTACTGGATCCTGAACCACGGATTTTCTTGAGGAACCGCGAACAATCTATTCCCCATCTCAGGGGATTCGCCAAGTTCGAGAACATCAGAAGTCTTCGAACAACATTCCAAGCACAAGCACAACCTCGCACCTCTTCCACTAGGAGGCTGGGCGGTGGTGAGGGCTTTTCCGGCTCCTGGATGATTATGGCCTTTTTGGAAGTGCTTGGTAGAGCTTTGGGCGGTGGCACTTGGCATGACAGCGACAGGCTGGATGAGCTCTTCTGCTCTGTTTTCTTCATGTCCGCCAGAAGTTTCCTCAAACGGAGAGAACGATTGAGGAAAAAAAGAGGGAAAAAACAGGTTTCGAAACCCACCCAAGAAGCGGTTTCAAAACGTTTTAAACAAAACACAGAAAAACTCTGTGCCAGCAACACGGAAGGGGTTGTTATTGGAAATGTCCATAAGATTCCATAAGCATCCATAAACCACCCTTTCCGTGGTGCTGGTGTAGGGTGAGTTTCTCAAACGTCCATTCAAGCAAATCGTCACCATGAGCTGTGGTCGGCCTTTTGGATGGACGCTCCTGTGGCACAGAGAGGGGTACTCAGTCGTCTGAAACATCCTTTTCCCTACTAGCCCTAGGGATCCAGTCGTACCTTCTCAGAAGGCACCTGGACCCTCCTGGCACCCACCCCAGTCCCACCTTCTCAGGTTCGGTACAGTACGATTGGATCCCTAGGGTAGAGGTAGCAGCAGTTCCATGTTTGGAGGTGGTTTTTGAATCCCATCCGGGCTGTGGATGTGACAGGGGCACCACCCCTACACTGACTTCATTCGACATCCGGAGTGCTGGAACTCGTGGCTGGTGTCCTGCTGAACGACTGTGGCGGTGGCGTCACGGTGGTCGAGGTCGCTGAATGTGGCGAAGATGATGTGACCGAATGGGTACCAGCCGATTCACTGGGAGAGGATCCAGCCGACCCCTAGCCCGGAAGCAGCTGGTACGATCTTCTCACCTCTCCGTTTCACGGATGGACGGATGGGAGGTGCTGAAGACCCAAGTTCTCGCTGAAGACCCAGGAGTGATGCTGAGTCTCGTGCATGATCCACTCCCAAAAGAGGTCGACCTGACCCTCTTCTATATAGGGGCTTGATTGGACGCGCCTGGACGTTGGAGTGGCGGGATGACCGCTTGGCGAAGATCCGCCGAATCATGGTGACCTGCAGAAGTTTGGGTGGTTGTTCGTGTGGAGGTGATGAGGACCCAGCTTTTCGTGTGACAGAAACCCGGCAAAAAGAGGTTTCGGGTGATGTGGATGTGGGCACCCGGATGCTGGTTCGGTGCGTGGGTATTGGGGAGTCTGTCCCTAGGCCTGAGGATGTGGGCCAGGAGCCCTACAGTATACTAATATATATATATAATTTTGTTATATACACATATGATTCATACTTACATTCAATATCTGATATTCCTGCATCATTCAACAACATTTTGTTGACATTCCTTGTATGTCTGCAGACGTTGTAAAACTATATGCAAGATGATGCAAGATGTATGCCAACCAACCGGGCTGTCTTTTTTCGGCATGTTTAGACTATGCACAGACATGAATGATTCAGGCATTCCTCTATGGTCTTAGGAGGGAGGTCTTCTCCCAAACGACCTCCCCTCCGACCCGTAACCCGACGCAGTCCAGGACGAGCGGCATGGCAGTTCGGCGGCCGGATTTAGACCCGATCGCACCCGAGGTGGAGGGCGGCGCAGTCCATGGCGAGATGGATCTTAGAGGACCTATTTAATGATCACATCCACATCGTACAACATATCGAAATCTATTTGTGAATCATAGTCATAGTGATAGTGAATCCAAGACTTGTAGATCGAAAAGTCATGAAGAATTGCATGGCGCCAGGAACGAGTCCTCGTTCTGATGCTCTCCATTCACAATTCGACAGAAGGACCTCGCTGCTGCCCTCTTTTCAGGTCACTTTGGACCCTGGCGGAAAGAAAGCCAGCGAGAATCAATCAAGCGTCTCAAAAAGATGAAGCGCACGTCCCAGAGTTTTCACGTGTTCCCTTGAAAAACCAATGGTCGACATGACATGATTAGTGCCATCTTCGCAGCCACCATGAAAAACGATGAAGATGTATTTGCATCCCCAAGGGATACAATGTACATCCTGCAAATGCATGACGTCCCTTCTTAGCAGGCCACTAGGTCTGTTTCTGTTTAAATCTGGGTCGATTTGATTTGTGAATTCATGCGGAAGAACCAGGAAGGACTACACGAATCAGTGAATCATCCACTGGGGTGAACAAAAAAGACGAGTTTTTGGCGGGGCACTCCATTTTTCTTGACTCCAGCGAATATTTATGAATTTATACCAGGATCCTGTCGGGGTGTCTATAAGTCTGCCTCTTAGAGGTGGTTCAGGGTCTCCAAAAACCACCCGTGAAGTCAGGTCAGGTCCTGTCTTTGCTTCTTGTGGTCCAAGCAATCCATGGGACTGGCAGAGATGTCGCCCCAGAACGACCCCTTGTCAACCACTTTTGGCCTGAGGCCAATACCAGCATCACGGATTTGTGTCCATGAATAGCCTTAGCCTTATATCACTAGGCCTCCAGTCATACCGAACCTGAGAAGGTGGGACTGGGGGCCCGGGTGCCAGGAGGGTCCAGTCATACCGAACCTGAGGAGCTACGACTGGAGGTGTAGGGTATATGTATAGGGCCTTAAGGCGTCTGTCGGGGTGTTCATAAAAACCACTCTGACAGGGAGTCCTGGTATGGTTGGTTTGGACCGTCTGGTTGTTTCATCCGCTCTCGTTGAGGAGACGAAGCGAGTGTCTCCATCTCTGACGCGCCCTTCTCTGGGCCGCCCAACCGGTTGGAAACCCATTGTCTCCAGAAGTTCCTTGTTGTGCGCGTATTGTTTTCGGTTCGGTGTGTGGGGGATGTGTGGGATATTGTGGGATGTGATCTCATTGAGAGATCAGTTAAACAATGACTGACTATAGACTTATTAGATGAGTCTTGAGTTTTGCCGACATCTTTGGGTCGTTTATTGTCCTTTATTGTCCTTGACATCCAGGGAGTCTCTGTTCATTCAAACATTCTCAACCTGCTGACGTATGGTGCCGACACCACCCAAAGTGTTTCCTTCTGCCACTGTTGGAGTTGAAGCGACGCTCCTTGTTGTGCACCGCCTCAAAGGTCTCCGTGCCGTCGAGGCCACCCACGTCGAAGATGGCCGAGGAGCCGCCTCCGCGTCCCGCGGGGCGGCTGCGGGGCGCTCCAAGCGGCGACTCGCGGCAGCGGCGGCTCTGACCAGTGAGGCGGTGGTCTCATATGTTGGGTTCCCTGAAACTCCGCACGGGCCTTCTCCCTCGTTCGAGGCAGTGGTCGGACCTTCTCCACCAGGGGTCCGGACTCTCAAAACGCTTCGGGCCCGGATTCTGAAGGGTGGCAGCCTGGCTCTCTACAAGGTCGTTGGAGGTACCTTCTCCACCCACCCCACCTTCGAAATGGATGCAGGAACCCATCTGGGGCGAGACAGGCGACCTGGACAAAACCACTCCGCCACTGAGTCAGAAAAACCTGGAGCTTCCAAGACCAAAAGCAACATGTATGCCAACCTTGGGCTGGTTTTCGAAATGAAAAGGCAGACATGACATGTTGGAAGCTCCACCTTGTCCCCAAGAAGACAGTTGGAAGCTCCAACAGTCTTAACGCAACGACCCGGACACCAAACCGGCCGGACGAAACGTCCAAACCCATTGCATGGGACGTTCGTGCCCGGAGGTTTAGTGGTGACCATTTGATTTAGCCTCGAAACTCTATGTCTCTGGGTTCGGGCCCGGATTCTTAGGGTACCTACTAGCGATGGCCTCCAACCTATACTAGCGGCACCAGCGATGGCCTCTAACCAAATAGGGCTTTTCACCGCAATTCACCCTGCCTAATGCGGTGCCAAAGCCTCGCCCGCCACACGGATGGTCCTCCCTCGCTTTTGACTCGTGACCGACGAAAAACGGCCGGCGGTGCCTGGATGTTCCCACACGTACCTCGTGCATGGCGTTGATGGAATGTGTCCCAGTGACCAGCAAGAGTGTTGGATTTTTGTTTAAAACCATCCCTCCAACAATCACGGAAGTGCATGGAAAATGCCCCCCTGGACAAATTGGGGGTTGTTCACAAAACCATGTTTGTTGCAGCGGCTACGCTGGACAAACCCAAAGATCAAAGGCTGCGTCCACATGAGGACCTATTGCTAAAGTCCTGAAACTTCGCATGATATTATACAATATTGGTATTACGCAACGTGGCTCAGACGTGCGTAGTATTTATATATTATATGTCTGCTCGACATGCAAAATGCATGTCTCCACTGCAATCTCCAGCAGTTCTATCAGTAGGAGGGGTCATTTTTTAAATCTCTCTCTCGAGCTTTGTGGTTTGGCCTCATCTTTGGTGTAGCATGGTGTAACTCTTCAAGCAAGGATATGCCTGTTTACCAGATGACCCATCCAAACGGATCCCCTGAAAGGTGTCTTCCAGTTTGGCCACTTCTTAAAGAAGGAACTGCATGTCCTATGCAGCTCTGCAGGGCTCGAGCTGATTCTGTTTCTGAAGTTTTCTCTACACTCCCTGGAACTAACATGGAAGTGGACCATTGCCTCTTGAAAGACAATTTTCCTCTACAAACAGGGTGCTTTCCATTTCCATGTTAGTTTAGTTTTCGGGAGAGTACACTCCCTGGAATCATGATGGAAATGGATGGCCACATTTCCACCCAAAATCAGAGGACCAATCCACATACATCCGTTTGGACCAACCGAACGGTGCTGTTCATTCATGGCTAAACGACCCACGGTGCTGGGAGTATGACGAGGATTTCATGGCTCGGAGGTGACACCCGAGGAAACTGCTACATGCCCTATAGCGTTCCTGTCCCATATCCTCAGGTTCGGTGGTTAGACCCCAAATCCACCACACCACCACCTTCAAAACGGAGGTAGGCCAGCTTGAGGGATGATGGTTCAACCCATCTGCGAACGGGTCCAGACTCTGAGCCAAACGAACGGGTCGAGTGTACAAGTAGAGCCGACGGACCGTGCGGGACATGTATCCGAAGTCGACTGGGACATGAATCAAACAAAAAACATGTATAAAATAGACCATACGAATATTGATGATGTAAGAATAAATGTACCCATTTTATGAAGTAGCGGGTCGACTCCACATCTATGTGTCCATACATCATATGTCTCCCTTCTCGATCGTCTCGTCTGTCGTCTCTTCATCGTTCATCGGTCATGGGAACCCAGGTCACTCGGACATGTCGTAGATATGGCCGTGGAGTGCCACCCAAAGATCTCCCTCTGCACGGTGCTTTTCCAGCTCCTCTGGCGGCTACAGCGGCCTCTCTGGCCGGCATCACCAACCGGTGCCGCATCGGCAGGAGGCGATGGAGGATGTACACCGGTTTCAGAGGCTTAGAACCGCACGCACCCAAAAATATCACTTTTACTATCACTTATATATTGGGATATATTGGGATCCATATCTAATACCACCGAACTTGGAGATTGTGCCATCTCATCTAACTCTAAAACCACTGCACCAGCACGCGATTTCCTTGCCAGATCACCAATTGAGACCTCCAACACAGGCAGTGAGGGTGCTGGTGTATATATCTTATATATATATAATATATATATATATGGAACATGTCCCACCAATGGCAATCTGCAAGAAGGCCCGCATCAATGCCACAATCAAATGTGCAAAAGGATGCAACATGACATGGATCGCCATGACCCGGACCAACCCCACGACCGGACCAACAAAGGTTCAAGAACCAAGAAGTTGGATAGCCTGCAGCGGCCTGCAGCTAGCTATCTTAGAGAATCATCATAATAAGAATCATCTTTATCATATATTCATCATTCATCTTCTTCATCCTAAACCGTTGGATTCTACAAACTCCCATCTTCTTCTCCAAAACCCTCTTTCTACCCCACTTCACCCACTTCTCTGTTCATCCAAGCCCTCCAATTTGCCCACACCGTGAAGCAACTCGCTGCTCCTGCTGGGTGATCTTGGGGAGCGACGTGATGCTGGGGGTCCTCTCCGAAGCCTTCGGCGTCGCTACTAGTAGCAAGAAGCTATGAACGTAGCTATTGGCTGCTAGTAGTTAATGCACTGGTCAACGCAACCTACATCTCTTCCTCTCCGAAGCCTTCGGCATGTTTGCTTAGGAAACCACCAGGATGTGCAGAAACAACATCTTCTCCGTCAAAAACCAGTCAAAACATGTCGGAGTCGAAACCACGTCTTTTTATGTATAATGCCATCGTCGGATTAATCAACGGCTCCCCGCTTCGAGGTCAACAAGGTTTGAGATTGGAGGTATTGGAGACCAGATCCCCCTGATAAAGGTGATCCCCTGATGATGGATGGTGAGATGGTGACCTGGACCTGATGGTGGGTGATGGTTGATGGGATTCTGTGTGAATCATGAGAGTTTGAACCATGAGAACCATGAGAGCAGAGAGCTCTTAGTATATTGGCACAAGCTTGATAAGAGATCTGATAGATCAAAGCCGTGCCAGAACTGAAAGGAACGTACATAATAATCATAGTCATAATCATAGTATATTACTGTATAGTAAACTATTTGTTTTATCCGTTTTATGTTTCCTGGGGCAGCTGGGCTTGATGCATAGGGGGAGGTTTCTGCCAAGAAAAAACACAATTAGGGGGATGTCAATGTGGAAATTTAGTATTGGGAGCTCGAGCTGGGCATGATTAATAAGGGGATCGAGGTTTATTAATGCTAGGTGCGCATTCATCAAGTGACCTCGTGCACCAACCAGTCAAAACAACTGTTGTTTGTTCTCTCGCCTTCCCTTTCCCGTATAATCAAATAGTGATCTCGTTCACATACCAGTCAAAACCAAGCTACCAAGCTTTCCAAATAAGTATCCCAAACTTCCAGGGGTCCCTACTGGACCCTGGACATTCCCAAGACCCGGACATACAAATTGCCTTTCGATCAAACGAAAAGGCCTACATTCACTCTGTCCACCCGAGTCGCTGCTATGATCTGAGGCTTGACATCGCCGGCACTGGCACCTCATTCATCAGCGCGCGTGACCACAAAGTGCGGGAGGGAGGAAGGAAGGGAAGTTTCTTCTCACACATCGCTATTAGGTTGGAGGCCATTGCTCTTTCATTTTGACTTTGACGTTGGCTGATGTTGTGACGATCGAGAGTCAAGATCGACTATTCAATTGGATGGTAGCAACTGGCTGAAAATAGCTTCAGAAGCAAGTGGCCCTCCTGATATATATATATATATATTATAGGGCAGCCAGCATCCATGTTTCAGTGTTTCTGTTCAGACAAATCTCTAAAACTTATTCATTATTTGGAAGCAGCTATGAGCCTCTGTGAGATGTATAATGTGATCCCTCCTTTTGGTGTTTGCGCCACTTGTTGAAGACAAAACATCCACCGACGATCCGTTTTCCTCGCCGGAAAAAAGGGCGATCGTTTCAGTCACGGATTGATCTGATCTACTCGCGACTTGAGAGCTCGGGACTCATGCTGGAGATGATGTCACTGAACTGATTCGCAAGCTCTTGTGGCTCGAACTTGAAAAAGTACCTGAGTACTGCTGCGCTGTGCAGCTAGGCTTTTCTTGGAAGTCTGACGAACAAGTTATCCATTGTTGGAGCCCGGGAAGGTGTTCTACATTGTTCATAGCCTTCAATCCAAAGTGATCCACTGGTCACACATGCTTTGAGCGCCAGAATTGTTGAGAGCAGACCTGTTAGAGGTTTTGCACGTACGTGGAAAGCTTTTACCCTATCCTTCAAACAACCTCAAAGAACAAAAGAACTGGTTGTGTGGTCTCAAATTCAATACTTCACTGACATTCCTTGGTAAAGAACCATATCAAAAATCAATGGCTTCTGCACAATCCCAGGAATCTCGTAATCTCGTCCGGTCCTGCTTCTCGCCGGTCTGTCCTGTCTCCGAGGTGCAGCTTCTTCTCAGCATCTTCCTTCTCAGCCCGGCCGAGCGCGCGGGAGGTGGCGCGCGAGAGGCTGGAGGCCCTCTTCCGGCGACGCTTCACCTCCAAGGACAAGATGCCACTGGAAAGAAGGGAGCACCTGGCAGGAGAGTCCTTGAAGTCAGCAAAAGGTTGTTTGTGTTTTATGATTGGAAACAAAACGGCTGAAACGGCTGGAACTGGAACTCATCTTTGGGCCCACATGAGAGGAGCTGCTCGCATGATAGAACAATGAAGCAAAGTGAGACTGGCAGACTGGTTCGCCTCGGAAACTAACTCTAAAGAGATGGCTTCACGGACGGTGTGCAAGGCATCGTATTTCTGGTGCCTTCATGTTTAAGCTTTAAACTATATAAACTTAAACACATCTTTGGGGATGACTACAATTTGGGTATTCCCATCGCCAGTAACAGTGGATGATGATGGTTGGTAAAGGCCTACTTTTTTACCGATTGTTGCTGGTCATGGGATACACCATGATACACCCTAACATACCCCAACGACTATAGGTGACTATCGTGTTGGGCTCGGGGTATCCAACGTGTTGGGTGGTGGATGGGACGCCTTTGGAAAACTCGTTTCCTGATTCCTACCAGGAAAAGGGGATACCGCTTCCACGTTTGTTGGATTGAAGGGTTGCATTCCCAGACGCTCCATGGGACTGGCATATTTACATGCATTGGGGTGGTTGGGATCAATGTAAGCATATATGGCATACATGGAGTGTCTGGGATTTGGTGATATTTTGGGGAATTCTCTTCTGGAACAACAGGGCTTGAAACCGTTGTACACGCACTGGTTTCTGGGGTTCGTCCACGGTGCTTTTTGATCCAAAAGATTCCAAAAGTGGTCTTAACAGCAACTCCTACTGCCACTGCCATCCACCGACCTTAGTCCAGCAGTCCAGCATGGCAAATTTCTGGTGTATATCATACTTCTCTGTCACTAATTCAGTTGGATTTTTGTTGAGAGCATCCCCACCTTTCGACATCCTCGAGCAGGTTCACCACGGTCTTCACTTGGTCCATAGAGCCTTTTTCGTAGATCAAGAGCTGGCTCCCGGTGATCAAAAGGCTCCTGCTATCATGCGTCTTCCAGCCCTGCACACCCGTGGTCAACCTCTCTACCTGGCAAAGGCGCGTTTTGACCATTAAACATGACTAAGTAATTCTATAGTTGATGTTTTGAGGAGTTGTTGGTGAACACGGATGTTAGATGGGGAAGACAAGTGTCAACCTGGTTCACTTTGAGCTGATCATCATGCGTCGTCCGCAAGCACCCATTATGTAATGTAAAGCACCCATTATGTAATGTAAACACTTAAAATTGGTAGGCTCTGCTCCAAAATAATGTCAACCCCGGATTAACAACCCCCCGCCCACATGGAAGGTCAACAAGGTCAACAAGGTCTGAGATACCACTCATAAGGTCCACACCCCCTGAATCATATGCTGTGAGCTTGAGACCATTGGACCATAAAGGTTTGAGAGGAGGTGAGCTGATGAGCATGAGATCAGGGTAGATACTGTGGGAAGTAATGGGTTCATATAGGAACGAAGTAGCCGTCGTAGTAGTCGTAGTAGCAGCAAGAGTAGCAGGGGTAGCAGCGGTAGTAGTGGTCGTCAAAAGGTTAAACAAACACAAACGAAGGGCCAGGGACACAGGATCAAATCAATAAGGGGTAATAGGGTAGATTCTTGACGGGGACAAGCCCTTGTGGAGGTACCCTTAGCGATTCTCAAATGAATGTTTTCGGATTGCTTTTGAAAGCAGGAAGTTTATAGGCCCTGAGCCGTAGGCCCTAGACATTCTGCTGGAATATTAATAGATATTAATAGAAAGCCAGTAGTAAGTAGGAGTAGTAGGAGGTGGTGGTAGTAGTAGTAAAATGGACCAGCTGGTTGTGTCTCGGATCAAGTGGATGGGTTCTAGTGCCCAACTAAGTTCATGGCGAACTTGGCCACCAATAACACTTTTAATCTACACCATTTTCTGAGGCTTTCTAGGCTTGGATGAACTGGGAGGAAATATGAATCCCGTCTTGACATTCACTCATTTCAATTATATACAAAACAACCCTCGGCTCGAAGTGCGCCTCGGCTCGAAGACACCCTTTGTGCAAGAAGTCCGGCACCGTGGCCGCGCGCACCTCGCGCAGGTCCGCACGGGCCGGCGTGCCGGCGCCGTCGGAACAGCCGTGAGGAGTACTGGAGGTTCGTGTCTCCAGGCAGGGCTGCGCCAGAAATCGTCCATGTGGCGATGCACTGGTGGAGGGCGTCCCATAGCCTTGCCGTGGAAGAACTGGTGCAGAGCGCGAAGCTGCTGGAGCCTCTTCAAAGGCATCGGAGAAGGGATTCGTGTCTGGCAGTTGATCATCCGGAGCTCTGGCAAGATCCAGCTCATCTGTCTCAGGCTGCCTTTCCCAGGGAGCTGGACCCAATGATTTATGATGCCAGGAGACGCGTCCTCTCAGGGTTGGGCTTCAACGATTCAAAGTTTCATCATACTGTTCAGCTGACCCCCTTTCAGCCGGATCCCTCAAATACCATACATTCACCGCCTTCTTCCAATTTGTTGGATTTTGGCGGGGACCCAACTGCAAACCAATCCCCAGAAAGGTTTTGCACGTGATCCACCTTTTTTGGGTAGGTCAGTAAGGCAAGCTGTTGGGATCTCTTCCCGGGCGTGGCCCGTGGCTGTCGACACCCTCCCATGTTCTCGACTCAGTTGGGGGTCCTAATCCGTTGCAACAAGCGACTCAGATCACAGATTCTTGAAACCCAAGGCTCATCTAATCGATGTAATATGACCTAATTATCCACCAACGAACAAAAACGATCCTTTCATCTATCACCCTCTTGCACCTTGGTTTGTTTTTCCATCTATCACCCTGGTTCATTTCACAATTGTCTGAACTCTACCCGAAAAAACATCGGCCTCCTTTGCCCACGTGCGAAATCCACCCGGCCGCCGGCAGCTCCGACACCAATTCCGCGGGCACGGGAGGTGACGTGGCCGTGCGCCCTGCGCCGGCCACGCACTCCGCGACCGACTCCGTTGGCTTCGGCGTCATGGGCGGCGACAGGGGTGCCGGTAGAGAGCTGTGCCGGGACCCGCGCACGGCCCGAAGCGCATGGCTGGTGGCCCGCACTAAGGCGGAAAGGCTGCTGGAACGTCGTTTGGTGTCCGGAAAAGCAAAGAAACAGGCGGTGTGGCAAGGCTGCTGACCCGGAGGACTGTTGGCGTCTGGCTCAGGTAAAGCACGACCTCTGCCTTGTGGCTTCAGTCAATGGTCCAAGGATTCTGTGAGGAGTGAACAACATTTGATGGAGAGAAAAGGCTTTAAGAGAAACACAAAACAAGTTTTGACTTGCTATGACTGGTAAGAGCAAGCTGGCCTATGTGTTTGACAGGGCCAAAGTGTAAAGGCTAACAAATACCAAGGTGACCTGAACTCGGGAAGTTCGGTTGCTTCGTCCCAAAAATCATCGGATTGGACATCAGTATGGATAAGTCACTTCTGAGTTGATTCGATATGTGTAACGTCCAAATTCGCAGTAGCAAGTATATTGCCGACTTTGGAAGGGCGAACCCACTTGTTAAAAACAAAAAACGATACCATCACCAATCATCACTAGGTCAGCGATGCAAGGAAAAAACATATATGCCTACCTTTGATTCCACCTTTTTTGGGGTCCAAGTCCTACCTTCTCAAGTTCGGTACAGCAGGGACTCGTTTGTGGCACCTAGTATACGGATACCATTGTCTCCAATCACCGGACCTCAGGGAGTGGCAGTGGATTCATAAGGAATCAAAATCTCTCGAAAGGGCTCGCCTGTCGCTTCGTGCCGCTGTTCCGCTTCATCCTCGGGATCGCTGAAGTCGCCCAATGGCTCATCGGTCAGTGCAAGCGGCGAGGCCCGGGTCTCGCGCGAGGTGATGTTGGCCAAGGAGGGCAAGTGATGTGGGAAGGAATCGCCAACACCTCAGACAAGAAGAAATTGGTTTTCCAAGAAACGGGTTTAATGAGAGGCACTTTGAAAGTAGGCTGAGGGAAAAAAAATATGGTTCCCCAAACAGTTCACTGTCGTTAGGCAGCTCCCCTGAACCCTGTGCCCGGGTGTTGTCTTCCTTGTCCTCTTCTTGTCCTGCTGTTGTCCTCCTGCTGCCTGTTGGCCGCACTGGCAAACCCTGTGGCCTGCCCTTATCCTCTTGATGTCATCCTGCTGACCTCTAGCCACACTTGCCGACCTTATGTCCTCCTCTTGCGCCGGTGATAGCCTTGGCCGCGCTGCAGACCCTGCCTTCTCCGCCTTGTCCAGGCCTTGTCCGGGTCTGCGTGCTTGGCCGCACGGACCGGTTCCGCGCCTCTCTTCTCCGCCGGGCTTGTCCAGGTCTGTCTGTCCTTGTCCGCATTGTTGGCCCTTTTATCACCGCCCTTTCCGAGCTATGTCCCGCTTGCCCTTGCTCCACCGCCTTGTCCAGGTATGTTGCCGTGTGGCTATGAATGCAACAGTGATACAGCGTTTCGAGTTTGATATCATCCTCGTCGGCTTGTTTCATCACATCATATATCCCCTGGTTTCTGCACATGTGAACTGGGAATCAGGAACATGTGTTTTCAAACAGTTATATATGGGAGTTGATCTAAATTCCTTTATCCGGGATCCGTCATTTTCGCCAAAAAAAAATTACTTTCGCCAAACTTTCGCCTTCCTGCGTTTTATCTTTCGCCGAAGTACGTTGTATTTATGTGTGCCATGTATGTTGTGTTTTGTTCACGTCAATGGCTTCTTCTTTACTGGCAAACACAAAATAGAAATTTCACTGTTTGTCAGCATGTGTCTTCTACTTAACTGTTGACACCCTGTACGTCTCTTTTGTTTCTCCTGGGTGTCAGCAAGAGTCAAAAATGCAAGAATCACTGTAGTAGCCGGTCACCCAAACTTACTCATAATGGGCTGGGGGTCAGATGTGGCAGGGTGAACTTTCGCCAATCTTGAGCTGAACTTTCGCCAAACTTTCGCCTTTTGCGGGGTAGAGCTTTGTGGCAAAAACCCCTGAAAGCAGGAGCAGGAATAGTAGGAATAGTAGGAATAGTAGTAATAGTAGTAGTAGTAGTAGTAGTAGTAGTAGTAGTAGTAGGTAGTAGTAGTTAGTAGTAGTTAGTAGTAGTTAGTAGTAGTTAGTAGTAGTTAGTAGTAGTTAGTAGTAGTTAGTAGTAGTAAGTAGTAGTAAGTAGTAGTAAGTAGTAGTAAGTAGTAGTAGTAAGTAGTAAGTAGTAGTAAGTAGTAGTAAGTAGTAAGTAGTAGTAAGTAGTAGTAAGTAGTAGTAAGTAGTAAGTAGTAAGTAGTAAGTAGTAAGTAGTAAGTAG